ATAGCAAATGGATGAAGTCTGCACGTGGTTGGCGTGTATAGTTGGACAACAGACATCCCATGTGTGTATGGCGTTGCCCTACTAGGATTGCCACGTATTCCTTAGTAAAAATCGCTGACTAATATGTAAAATTAACCGACAAGTTTTCGAGAAATACACTCCTTTGCAAATCAATTTGGTTTTTACGAGAGACTCAATTGAATCTCTATCTCAATTCTCTCGTGAAAACCAAATTGGTTTGCAAATGGGTGTATTTCTCAAAAACGGTCCAATCTGGGTTCAAGTAAAACATAAGGTTGACGGAAACTCGGGAACTGCGCCTACCTGATGAGCCCCAAGAAGGGCAAAACCGGTCGTGGGCTGTCGAAGCGCTTTCAGCAACCTTCTGAGTAGTTTCCTTCATGAAAATATACTGCGATATCTCGAATATCGTGCCAACTAAAACATGAGTCAGCCTGTGTGCAACATATTCAGTTGTAGAATATCATAAACGAGAGATTCAGTTAAGTCTCTCGTGAAAACCAAATTGATTTGCAAATGAGTACGTTTCTCGAAAACAGTCCAATTTGGGTTCAAGTAGAGCATAAGGTTGGCGGAAGCTCGGGAACTGCGCCTACATGATAAGCCCCAAGAAGGGTGAAACCGATCGTGGGCTGTCGAAAAGTTTTCAGCAACCTCCGGAGTAGTTTCCTTTATGAAAATAACCGACAAATTGTTCATCCTCTTCAGCAAACAGACTAGCATTGCTTTTCTATGTACGGAATAGATGATTTTAATATCGAGCAAATAAGCCGGTGATTGTTTCGTGCCTGTGTCGTTAGACCAAGAGGTGAACAGCGTACACACCGGCACCAGAAAACTAGGACGGGCTTTAAGGCATGCTACTCTTAGAGATTTTGAAACAATTTTGGGCCATTGTGGACAGCGAATTATGCATAAAAAGATCGTTCAGCAACGTATTGAACAAAAAGTGGAACCGACCGATTTTCAGCAACGTATTGAACAAAAAGTGGAACCTCGAATGTCGTCATCCTGGATCCTGTTCAGTATTGCCTGAATAATCTCTCTGGCACTCATCAACCTAAAATCCAAATTCACTTTCCTCTGCTGGTGTCATCAACGGCACATCACAAACTATTAGTTGTTCAGTAGAAAAACGTCAGACACTAGAAAAACGTTCAAGAGCTTAGATGCTGTCGGGTTGCTCGAACCTAGACCGGAGCATTAGAAAATTTAAGGTTTTCAAGGGTCGGTTATCCCAGGAAGACTTGGTAAGGAACAGAGCAATTTGGCGCAAAACATTATCTGTCGGCATGTTACAGTACCATTCTATGGAAGGTTTGTTTATCACGTTGTTGACATGACTTCCAATGTCTTTCACGCCAAGTAACTACTCACAGCAAATGTATCTCCCAAACTGTAACGTCACCACACATTCAGCTGGATGACATCATAAACCAGAGATTCAATTGAGTCTCCCGTGAAAACCAAATTGATTTGCAAATGAGTGTATTTCTAGGATCATATTACTTATATATCATATTTTATTACTTATTACTCAGTAAAAGCTAGGGATATTCTGGTGTTGTACCCGAGAAGTGCGAAACGTCCGTAAAACCATCATCGGTAGACTTCTGTTAACGGAAGGCAATGCAACGGAGGCTATCAATAACACGTATCTTTATCAATGAGTTTTTACGTGATGTAAATCAAAAATACTGGAGCCTCCAGTTTATAAAATACGTGCGCCACGTGTTCGTTATCCGGTATCAAACACGCAAACTTCAGAAGAAACCCCGTTTTAAGTTCACCATAAAATCAGGATGCAGGTTGTAAGCTGGTTCCATAAGTGACCGCTGACATCCAGCCAACAACTGGCACAACAGGCAGACGCTATCGAGATGTTACCCTTTTGGATAAAATAATCACATCAAGGTGGTTGTAAGCTGGTTCCATAAGTGACCGCTAACACCCAGCCAACAACTGGTACAACAGGGAGACGCTGTCGAGATGATACCGTTTTGGAATACGGTACATTAAGGCGATGGTTTCGGAGACATGGAATGTCTCTCCAATGCAGAATTCGGAACGAAACAAAACACCTAGTGGTTCCGTTGACGGCTGACTTAATTCCCGATAGGGAACTCCATAATCACTTTCTAGTGAATCATTCCCCTGAGACAGTTTATTATGGTAATGTGGTGAAATAGTGGTAGCTCGGGTGAGTTTATTGGTTGTTGATCAGGTGACTGTTGATCTGTCCGCCGAGCTTGGTATTCGGCTTGGGAACGTTTCGTCACCTTACTAGGAGTCATCACCACTGCGCACTGATGATGTCTCCTCGTATGGTGACGAAACGTTTGCAAGCCAACTGCCAAGCTCGGCGAACAGATCAACAACCAACAGTTTATTATATTCACACCAGAAAATCTATCTCGCCATACCAATGAATATTTCTTGGGCTCAGTTAATTATTTAGCCTTGCACATGGATACACCACAATTTGCAACAACCATTCAAAGTTCCAGCCTCGACTGCAAGGATTAACGCGTCTGATACGATAACAAACGACAATAGTGATTATGGTAGACCCAAAAATCACCACTGATTTCAGTGTTTGTGACAAAATGTCTTCGGTACAAATAACATTGTTTGGCGGGATACCTAGTCCATGCTAGCCTAGATGGTGGGACCGACGCCCTTTATCCAGACGCACTCTTTGGCGATACCGTATCAACGAGGGATAAGCAAGCTGAGCAACTATCTGAAGTATTCACCTCAAACGAAAGTTTGAGCTCACTGTTCTGACGATGTCTGCCTCAACAACCGCATCCAAACGAAATTTCAACAAATCAGTTCGGGAAGCACGTGATATGAGTGTCTTTGGTCAACCTCTCACCAATAAATACCACTGACCATACGGACGATCGGACATTCCCTGCTCAAAAAAGACGTACAGAACAAGATCGTGTTAAGGAATAGCGCGGCTGTCCATTCATTATCCGCTGTCACCAGTTGATCCTCACTAGCACCACCAACCTTAGAACGATTGCACAGCAAACAATAAAGCTTCGCTTGCTGAAAGCTTATCGTGCTGTACGGACAAACAGCACACGAGACGATCCAAACGACTCCACTTGAACAGTAATTCTCCTTCTCCCCAATTCGCGATACCAGCTGACTTGTTGCTCCAACGCCGCATTTTGTCGTGCTTACTAATCTTTTAGTGCACCAATCTTCCAACAGACTACCATATGCGACACCTACAGAACGTCGCTCCCACAACCACGCCCTTGAAGCATTCCCGAAAAAAAATTACATAGAGACCAAGGTGGTCACTTCTGGTGGGTTTTGTTCCTTTCCAGACCTTGATCTACTCAATCCCGTCCCTTGTGGGACAAACAGCTCTTGTCGTTGTAAGACAAAGGGCGATTAGTTTAGCCACTTGGCTTGATCAGTGTGACCCACAAGATAGTTGTTCTGAGTTCTAGATCATCAGTTACCGATCGTATTGGGTACGATTGAAAGCGTAACCTGTTTTGATGTTCAAAACAACACAGTCCCAGGGGACTTCGATAACATTAGCTACCACCAGAACTAATTTTGCATTAGAACTTCAGTAAGGTACTTTCTGACAGTAGGTCTGAAAAACTGGTAGATCAATGGTCAGTTGTTGTCAGTTTTAAGTGTCGATTTTGCAGTGAACGGGACTACCGTTGATTCGGAAAAACACTCTCCATACCACTACATCCAGTGCGCATAGTGTAGCCTTAAGAACTGGTTCTCGCGAAATTTTGACAGTCAGGTGTGGTCATTCAAAGTTCATCTGTGAGGAGTACTGTACCAGCGAAGGCTGGGATACTGCCAGGATGCCCAAGCCTAGACAAGGAAAGTCTAGAGGCAGAGGTCGGATTCGAACCACGGACTTTCCGGTCAGGAAAAACGCACGCTAGCCACTGAACCACCTCACCCCAAGCAGCTCTTACGATCAAATCATCTTTTGGTCATGGTTCGTAGTTGAATAGCTGAAACGACGTGAACTCTCTGAGCTACGTAGAAGCATTACGTTTTGCTACCATGTTTCGACCGAGATAGGCGATCGGAACCCTAGCTATGTATATCTAGATAATAAAACATGAGGTAGTGACTGAGAGTGGCTAAGCGAACCTGAGCAAAACACTCCGTTTTAACCTTACCAGAAGCACGGGCAAACTGAGGATCCAACTCTACTTTTCAAGCAAGAGGGGAAGATGATGCGAAGTTGGATAAAATTAGGATATGTGGTCCATTAGTATGCTCGTGTCACCGTATGGGGATCCGGGAAAGCTGGACAGCTACTTGCTTAATCCACTCACTCCAACCGAAACGATTAGTAAGTGTGCCTATAGCTAAAATAAAACTGCGCCAAATCAAGCCGTTTGATGTCTCCATGCCATGATCAGAAGTGATCTTACGTGGGCGAGTTCGACCACATCAGATGAAACTAGATTAGATTCTTTGAAATGTAAACTATTCGAAATAACCTAAATGACTCTATTGCATAGTTCGGTAAGTGCATCGCGTTTGGAAAAGAGACTGGCCCGTCACGAAGAGACTGTACCTTATCGTGGTGTGGCGGTTTGTGTACCTCGGCGACCCAGTGAGCTATACTGGAGAGTGTCCGCACGATACTCACAGTCTCTCATACCAGGTTGGTCCATGGGTAGAGGTCCGACGAACACAGTCTCCTGGCCCTCCAGGTTGGGGGTTGGAACATGTATAGCGACGTGTTCCGTAAAAAATGGTAATGTACTTGCATTTCCAGCCGAACACCGCTGCCTTGCGGTTAGGTGTTTGAGTCAAAGGCTTTGATTGAGGACCCTAATCGTCCTCCTGTCTAGGTGTGGGCGCCCTGGCAGTATCCCAGCCCTCGTACAACCATGACATACAACCATGATTGATTGACTCATCTTCTGACTAGCATCTTCAAACCGGAGACTCACAGGCTTTTTCTCTATCAGATGCTGCAGGAGGATTGTGAAAAGTAAGGAACAACACTTGGCTGTTTTCAAGTAGTATGATTTCCATGAAAATTTTATCGCGCTTGCCAGTCCAAAAAATCAATTCGATTCATATTGGATTCATATCGTGGTTGTGGGTCACGTGACACTGCGGAACTGTAGTAAAAAAATGGCAAAAAGCGATACGCGATCTAGCCTGTTACATATACCTGCCGAACCATGTCACACAGAACAGTGAAGTGGGCAGCTTACCAGAACTAACTACACCCTGTCTTTATAGTGCATTGGGCAGATTGCTAGCGGTCGAACAAGTACTGGCAATGACTGGTAGCAGCTCAACAGTTTTACCTTGTACACAATGCGAAGGTTAGAGTGCTCATGATCACGAGGCGGTTGGACTGAGACTTCAGGGTCAGGTTTCCCAACAAAGTAAGAGAATAGCGTGCCTCACTCAAATTTGAAAACAAAAAGCCGAGTGGCTATAGTGGTAGTACAAACATTATTATACGTGAAGTGCAAAATCACGAGCTGTACAAAACACTGCTGCAAACTGGTAAGGTCTGGGAGGACGAGTCGTAACAATCGAGTCAAACAAGTCCAAAACGCGCCTTTCTTTTCAGTAGTTTGTCCTCGTCTGATACTAGACCAAACTTGAGTGCCCTGGCTGCTTTTCGTTCCTCGTCGCTGGTTGCGCCTGTCGACGACACGGTAATTGTCTGTGAAGGTCCTGGGGAAGTAACAGGGCCGAACCGCGCAAGTCTGTTGGCTCTCCGCTCCTCCTCCGTCAGCTTTTTTCAGGTGAGGGGGAAAGCGACGACAAACTGTTAAGCGACCATACGTTAGGGGTAAACTACCGAAGAGCAACCGACAACTCTACGAGCAGGGTGTTATGTTTCTCCTTGACCGAAAGTGACATGTGAATGGTGATAGTTCAATCAAATCACTATACAGGTTGCCCCGCCTATCGGGTTGCTTTGAAAAAGCAAGTAATCCATGAATTGACGGCCTTTGGTCGATTTCCCCGAATTCCTTTTTCGAGTAGAGAAAAGCGTTGTTCAAAGATATTGACACCTTGTTCCTAACATGAGGTAGTTTAGACTATATCGTCAGGCATTTTTTGGCAAGAAGTTATTTCAGCTAAGGAAGAGTTCACTACTGGCGTGTTACTGACCACATTACTGACGGCGTTACTTACATGAAAATGCCATCCCAAGGGAACCCGCTAGATCTGACCAGTTCCGCCCAGCTGAGCTCGTGACAACTCTTAGCCTTCCGAGACCTCAGAAGTGTTCTGGCCGCTGTTGATAGGGCAACACCAACGGAGCACTGGACTGTCGGAGTCAGTATGCGCTGCAAGGGCACTTGCCTCGGTTGCTCAATCCATCTGCTGTTGTCCAACGTTGTCATAAACGTCCTGGACGGAACTAAATGGCGTCGACTTCCTTCCAGTGAACTCAGTTGAAAGTTACAGATATGTGGGGATCACGGGGCGCAAATTATGATCAACAGACTAACTAGTTTCGTCGGACTGACCTTTATGCAATGCAAAGCGCCTCGGTGGTGCTGCACTGTAAGTGGTAGAGACTCCACCTCCTCAAGCTTAAGCTTACTAGTCTCCGGCAACATGGTTATATGAACCTGATACTTGAACAGTGCTTTGTACGAAATTCGCCTGACTGTTGCACGGATTTGATCAAAGACTTGCATATTCAGTGCAATGGATTGTAGGGATAGGTCCTGGAACTCATACCACTATAAAAAAATCGTTCAGCTGTAACAACCTCCCAGTGACTAGCTGCCATGCTACCCGAAAGAAGCACAAGGGCTGGGATACTGCCAGGTCGCCCAAGCCTGGGAAGGGGAAGTCGAGGGGCAGAGGTCGGGTTCGAACCACGAACCTTCCGGTAAATAAATTCGCGCTATAATCACTTGGGCCATCACGCCCCATCAATACAATGGGAGCTTGTGGTTAAACTATCGTCAACTTTAACTCCCGCTCAGAAACAGTAAGACGAAAATGCTCGGGGTTGACCCAAACTTTTCGGGGACCGAAACACACATATTACGTGACAAAATCTAAGCTGGTGTTAAAAGAAGATTAAATTAAACTCCCATGTACGTGTTCCATTGAATACGTTGCAAAAAGGCTGTTTACTCCTCCAGTTAGATGTACGCTTCCGACCTCTGCCTCTCGACTTCTCCTGTCTAGGCTTGGATAACCTGGCAGTATCCCAGCCTTCGTGCTTCCCTCGAGTGGCATGGCAGCTAGGCACCTGATAATGACACCTACCTACCAAAGGGCAATACGAACCTGAGAATATAACTGTTGGTTTGTCTTTTTAGGGATCACCTGACAGGTTCATCTTGAGGCCTGAGAATAGTTTCTGGTTAGCATCGCGTTGATTTGAAAGCGAATTTTTGATTCAATCTGTTTAATCTGGTGCTCAGAAAGGAAGAAGACTGACTAAACTTCGAAGACCAGGACTGACAGGAGAGCTCCAAAAAGGGACGAAATCTAAAGTGGGCGGTTCAAGATTTTCCGTTAAACTCACAAGCACCAAATGAAAAAAATTTCGAAATACTAGACGCCGATCTAAATGAAACATGGGCGGTCTGCGGACACACTAACAGGTGAGGGACACTATACTCGAAAGATTAAGTTGGGTCACTTGGGTCAGTCCACAAAGGTCCCATTCGATATTTAAATGGGAAATAGAGATTGGTGCAATTTCGAAGAGAGCCAGATGAAACGTCTTATAAAGGACGAAACCGGCAGTAGGTT